CAAATAATCGAAAACATACCGTTGTTGATGACTCCCTTATATGTCACCTGTTTCTCTTGAACCCGACATTGCTAATATAATCCTCAACATATTTTGCAGCGACACTGGAGTGCTACCATATGTAGCTATCTTCTCGCATCACTCACTTGACTCCGATCGATCGTCAATAGCCCTCTATGATAACACGCTGACCCATTTCCCTGGCTGCATTCAAGTTTCCCACTGTAAGATGAATGAGTTACCAATCGGCACTCGCACTCACATTGGCTACCCTCTGCTGTCGACGTATGTTACGTGTCCGAAACTAGGATCAATGGTTTTTGGACCCACTGCACCTGTATTGTCTTCTTGCTATTGGTTAACCGCATCCGGAAGCGCTGTTGTGGCGATTACACGTCAACTTGGTGTGGGCGCCGTTCTCACTTTTAAAGCTGAACAATCCTTAGTTGTTTGGCTTCCCGTGAGCGTCTGTTTGATGAATTCATGTAAGATTAAAACACAGGTAAGCTTAAGACACACAGTGCTTCCCTAAATAATGTTTGCGGTTCTGCTTGTGCGTTCACTGACTGCACTCTCTACCACATACCAGTACACACTACTTCACAGCGTTACCAGTTTAACATCGTGGTTGTTTCCGTTGATGTGAATGCTCAAGTTGGTCAGGTAAGCTCTCAGAAGCTCAGACAGTTGATTTGTTTGAGCTTAACACCGAACGAACGTACAGTGGCGGATGTTTATTGCAACATTATGCCGGACATCAACTGTTCCTCAGCATCACCACCTTCAGGCAAAGTAAGCACCGATCTGACACCTGGGGCTCTCTTGTTATTAGTGAGCAGTGGAGATTTGGGTGTAATTTCAAAGGTAGCTCATCTCAGCCCCCTCTCAGTCAGCAGGATTCGACACGTCCGGAAAAGCACCAGCCAGCCGTTTGACCTACTGGGTCTCATCAAGGGTGTGTCTTCTGACCTCTCCGGGTTCCGACCAAAGCTGGACCCGAATAGGTCACATCGCCGTGTTTAAGGTGACACGGTTCCACTCTTGATATCCGCTCGTTCTGAAATATCTGCGTCAACTCTGCTCGTAATCTGGTACGCTTTCGGTTTTCGACGAATTTTACTAGAAGGCCGAGCATTCCCATCTTTTCATACCTAAGAATTTACTCCACCTTCAGTCTGATATGCATACTGGGATAACCTGTGTACCGAACGATCACTTTCTCGCTATAAGAACAACGGACCCAGTGGAATAGCATTTTGGCTGTTATGCACGGTGCGGTAGCCTCTGTTTGCGACACTGTTAATCTGCTTAGCTGGAAGTTCGAGCTGTCAGTGACCTGATTGGAATCCACTTGCAAACTCGCTGTTGGAATCTCGCACAATCTAACCAGACAATCTATTGGACGCGAACCCTAACAGAGTCTGCTTGCTGGCCATGAGGCTTGGTTGACCCAGTGAGCTCGAGTGTAGGATTGGCGGATGCAGTAGGTATTGGATGCAGAATCTTCTGACTTATCTCCGCCTATTATCCTGAACAGAGACAACAGAAAAGCCATAATTCTTTACAAGGAACTCGATCTGGCGTGTTGTGCGAATGTTTTTTGAGGACAGTTTAGTTGGCCAGCCCCTCGCGAACTTGAATAAATGCAGGTCGAGCTACAGCAAATTGGCTTAGACACTGCATCAGATTCCCATTTTTGCGCCACTTATTCAAATTATCTCTCATCTTCACTTTATGGATGGTGGTGACATCCTCTTACAAAGTACTAACTTCTCAACACTACACTCAGCACCGGTTTTCGCACTATTTTGTGCTCCACAGAAGTGCGGCTCGAACTCAAGGTTCTTTTTGGTGTTAGCGGAAGCCTTTCACACAACGCCTTCTTCAGAATAGCCTGTCGAGTTAGTCATTGGTGGTTGTGACAAGAGTTGCCTACCGCAGCTTACTTGTATACCCTACTACTTATATCCCGAAGGTCTCGGATTCCAGTCGCAGCCTTGTTGTTCCTGTCTGCTGAGTATAAAAGTGTATGAAAACTGTCATGGACTGCAGCGTTTTCGGGCACACAAGCGCCCAGCTTGTGCCTGTAGTTCCAGCGACGGAATTGACCCAAGTTAATTCCCATGTATATCCCGATCCTGATTGAGGTTGCGCGTCACAATCCATTAGCACATGGGCTGCAAAAACACCTCTACAATCGCTGACCCACCTGTTCAAACTGTTGTCCAAACAGTGGAGGTCAAGCTGTTATCGATTTTCATTTAGCTTGTTTATGTGCTGGTTATACGCAGGTGTGAACTGCATTGATGTCCGTTCCTTACGGTCAAGCAAAGACACATTTGACCAGCCGAACGTCTGGGTATGCATTATTCATTGACTTCCGTCCGATGAAGTTCCTTCTTTTACCGTAAAAGCTCGAGGTGTTTTTGCCAATCTCCGCCACCTGTGACGCAGACGCGACATTACTGTCGCCCTGAAGGGCAGAGTTTATAACGCAGCCGTCCGTTCAACTCTTCTATATGGTTGTGAAACCTGGCCCATCAGGTCGACAGACATAAAGATGCTCGTCATATCCGATCATCGCTGCCTTCACAGCTTAGCTCATCTCTGGTAGGAGCACCGCGTGAGCAATGAGCGTGTTCGGCGTCGCGTATTTGATGTAGGAAAAGCGAGTGAACCGCTCAATAGCATTAAATCACGCACCAGGCTCCGATGGTTGGGCCACGTGTTGCGCATGCCAGCACACCGACTTCCGCGACGTGCATTGTTTGCGCGTTGTGGGTGCGGTTGGAAGAGGAGGAGGGGAGGCCAAGTGATTACTTGGTCGAGGGAGTTGAAAACCCTCACTTCGAAGTTGGCGTCAGTTGGTGCATCCGACTGCCTGGCTGGGATGCTAAGGACGGTGAACACGTTTGGTTGGACACACTTGCTGATATGGCTTGGAGCCGGCCCCATTGGTGTTTGTGTTGTGAGTTCCTTTCCCCCCCCCCCTCCTGCTTAGTATCCCCCTCCCATCACGATCTCACTCATTAGGCATAATATAACTCAGTTTTTACGGCACGATAGCCATGTGTTAGTTCTCCTGAATGATGTCCATCCGTTACTGGGAACTCAGCGGGCGTGCCACTGTTTGTTTTCCTCTTCTTGTCTTTTGTATTGCGGTTCAATAGCTGAGGTGTTTTCCACCTGCAGGTAATGTGTATAATGAGGAATGATGACTCCTTTTACCGTTAAACAAACGACAATGCTTAGCAGCCGCGTTGACAAGTGACAACGTATATGCTAAATCCAATAGCGGAATCACTCAACCCTTCATTCTTTGCCTACTTGGTTTGTTCCTCATCCCATCTCCATTCTACTTTGACATTACTATCCCACTTATGGCTTGCCGTTGACCAGATGGGTTAGTTTTATGCGCCTCATGATATTTCCAGCTTTGGATTGTTATAATCCGATGATAAAGTGAATGGGTTTACAACTGTGAGTAGTTTTCGTTAAAACCAGCGTAAATCCAATCGCTCATGCGAGATACTTCCGGAATTCGCTTGAGATGATAAGAGTTTTGTTCACATATCGGATGCGGAAACCGAAACTGAAATTGTCCATGTGAATTCGTCGATTCTCTCCTCTACTAGGCTATCGGCTAGCGTATTTTCAATCACGTATTTTGTTCTGGTGTCGCGCAGTCTTATCGCATATCTTTACGCCTGTGGCTAAACGATGTCGCACCGTATTGTTCATCGTATCTGGCATTCACTCACATGGTTCTCCGTGATCACATTGCACATGTTTCTGCGCACCCTGCAAATGCCATGGTTTTCCTTTTTTATCTACACGCGTTCCTTTCGATCAAGACTACTTTTTTCATCCCGCTTAGCCTGAACTGACAAATGGCATACCACATTTGCTACACGACAGTCACCTTTCGGTTTTGACGTACCTCCTGTTTTTGGATTGCATTTCGCAGTCTATATTAGGGCCTCGATTCACTCGGAAGTAGATAGTCACTATGATCTCTTGGGTCGTGGCTTAGATTACATGTCGCAATCCTTGCACATGTCACATACCACATGCGACATTATTCAACTCCTAAAGTCTTCTTGCTGATAAGGTTCCTTTATCTGTTAGGTGGGTGAGAAGTGAACATCTGCTTTTCATTCCCATGCTTATTCGCTTGCTTTCGTTTGTTTCCTGGCAATTGTTTAAAGGCATCATTCCTTTGCTTCGATTGGCCGGCCCAAGTCGTTCATAATGGATGCTGCCTCATGGGGTCTATTTCCGCTAATGCCGTTTCCTCGAACTCACCTGATTGATTCTTTGCCACTTCTCATGCACTCGTATTAATCCTTGTTTCCTATACTGTCAGTTGGCTCCAATGTGATCTAGTAGCTTTGCTTCATAAATTACTATATCCTATTGGAGAGAGCAATGTTCTCGTGCATTAAACTCGGTCGTGGGTCCTCTTCGTGTTCATCTTGCGATTGTGGGTGCTTGAACAGTCGGCTGGCGACACAACATTAGAAGGATACCAACTTCATGGTACTTATTTCGGCACTTCACTGCCTGCATATACCCTCATAAGGCTAAGCCAAACGTGATGGAACAGCGAAAGCTGAGAATGTGATTGTTTGGGTCAACAAAGTTGATCAAAAGTCAAGTGGATACACTCAGGCGGTAAAAGTCATCTAACGCATTCACAAGACACGGGAGCGTTGGCCGATGGCCACTTTCGGCCGCAGTCACTGTTGTAAGTAGAGGCCTTGACACAATGAAATCTTGTATCAGTGTTCTCTGCAGCAAAATATTCGGCTGAAATCGCCTGATTGCATTGGGCTAAGCAGTGGCCAACAAGTGCTTGTTGATCCCTTTGTGGTTACGCTTCTGTGTCATGTAGACTACTTTGAATGAATTGTCGGTCCGAATCAGTTGACCAGCATAAACAGGATGACCACAACATTTGAAAAATGAACTGTATCGTGATTTCTCTTGTTATATTACAGTATTCGCGCCGTTTGGGATATGTTCATTAATTTATCTGAAACGGAGCAAGCAAGAGTTTTGCACTCACTGTGTCACAATCATCTGTACGAGCCTGATGCCTGTCCTGAATTTACAACTGACCTTGACATTTTCTCCGACGAAGATGTCATCGTGGTTTCGAAACAACCAGTCGGCACACGTACACCTCATCGCGCTCGGCGTTCAAAACGCGGTCACCGAAAACCGAAGGCGCATGTTCCACCCACCACTTTGAAAGGTGACAATTCCTCGGATGCCGAGGTGCATTCTACAAACACTTCTGGGTCATGTAAGTTAGCAATCTCATTGACGAATCGTCCTGTACATTTGTTGTTATTCGGGCTTTTTAATTGCCGTTTCTAATGCCCACTCATTTCTTTAACATTCTCATCTTTCTGGCTCTTATTTGGGATCGATAAATCAAGCAACGCGGTCGCACTTTCACCACCGTTTTAACTTTATTTTCATTGTCCTCGTTGATGTCCTTGCATTCATTAACACTGCCTTATTTTTGCACGGTATGTTGTTGTTAAGGTGTAGGCGCCTTGGCCCTAACTATTTAGTTGAGGCACTGAATTTTTACACTAGACCGCTTCTCGTTGTTATTCCTTTCATATGTGATTATTATCGTACGACAGCGAAGCATCAGTACAAGTGCTTGCTGATGGTTATGTTCATGAACACCTGAAAGTCCGGTTATCTTGAAGGGTTTAGTAGCTCAGCATTATTATATGTCAACAGACGTTAAGAAACCAGTGAGATCATAGCTTTGACGATGTTCATTAATCTCTTACGCTCCTTTCTCGCAGCCAACCACTGTAGCGAAATGGCGTAATGGGGACTCCGTTTTGGCGACACTGACTGTGGCATCTGAATCTACAGCGCGTTGCTACTTACCTCTTGGTTAAATAACAGCACAGGAGGGTCACTCCACATTTGCGTCCTGCTCATTTCTACTTTCTGTTCTTGACACCTTACTCAAATCACCCAAACAGCCTTCTCTTTCTACATGCGATTTCAGCTTTACTCCTCACACTTCTTTCGCGTAGCAGTACAATGCACTTACAGGACGGACGATCTCATCATTCATCGCGTGCTCAAGTTTGTGCGCTTCCCGCACTGCAGAGCTATATCGATACTCATTGACGTTTTGTTTTTCACATGTCGAACACCACTGCATCCGGTTGACTTCACTGATTCTCCAACTACTCTCTCAACTATGTATGCATATCTCGCTGGATTGTGTTGCACAACGGGGCAAGTTCAGTTCTGCTAGCGCCAACTTTCCAACTCCGGACACAAAGCCCAAGCGTCCTGCGTAAATCTTACTAGTGTTTAGTCATCGCAACGAAATGGTTGTTCCTTTAACTACCTTACGCTGTATCTGTGATCGACTTCCTAAGCACCAATAGACAAAACTGAAGAGTGTCCTCCTGTGCTTTTGATTTCGACAGCGGATCTTCGATCCAGCCTGTTGTGATTTTGACATTACGAGGGCTGCCGTCTCGCACTGTTTGATCTCCTCATTCTGCACTCATACTTACTGGGCTGTAATTTCAAGCTTTCTTTCAAGTTGTGCGAGATACGCTGCGAAATATGATTTGCCGTGGTATCCGCTTAATGTCTCTTCTCCTCATCGAATGTGTTAGTGACTTCGGGGTGGTACTGACGTGTCCTGTGGTAGATAATACGGTTGTCATTCTATGAGGTCGTGTATTTGCATTCAGAGCGAGCTCCGTTAGTCTATTTAAATTCTGTTGAAGACTCGTTTATTCCACCCTGATCTTTGACTAATCTGTCTCCCTATTCATGCTTTTTCCCCAGCTCGTGTTACCATTCCCCACGAGGAGAATACTGCGATTTTACTACGAGATCCGATTCCCAAGCGCTTCTTCTCTCTGGTTTCGGGTACTGTGAACTCTAATCGTTTTTCATGCAAATTCCCGGGTAGACGAAAAAAGCAGATGATCACTACTCTTGATTTTTGCCTCATTGGTCGAGTAGAGTCTGAGTTACGACACTGGTTCGGTTGTCACACGGATTCCGTCGAGAACGAGATGTCTCCATGGCCCCCACGTCGTGCACAGAAACGTTGGACGCCGACGATATCAATTCTGGGTCACATTGATTTCTGCTCATGGGTGCTCGAACATCACAAGTTTCCTGTGCCGATTTTACTGGATTCGTTGGAACGCCTGCTTGTCCACTCGGTTGCCAACTATCTTGGATTGTACTCTTACAGTTAGTTCGATTGTGTGTACTCAAATCTAGCCAGTTTTTTTCTGTTCCTCTAGGTTTTGACAAACTTACACTTGTTTTGGACACATCCTTAGAATTTCTCAGAATGCTTGTTAGCTGTATGGACTGTGCGTTTCACTAAATGATCTTTGTGATGTTTCCTGCTTCGCTGGATTCACCATCATTGCCAACGCAAATTCACATGCAATTTAATTTGGCGCTTTGCTACTTAGTACATTGTTACATTGTTACTTAGTACATTCATCTCCTAGGGATTTCAAGGGACACTGAATCCAATGTGCGTACGCTATCCGAGCAGAAATAGCCGGTTTTCGCAGGAAGATTGTGCACGATCAAAGAGACTGTGATGGTAAGATACTACACTTAGATGCCCGCCGCTTAGCGATCGGTCGAGTTTAACGATTTTGGGCCAACAGTCTGAAAGCTGGTCAATCGCTGCAGAGGCGAACTGAAGGATAGCATGCAATCGATTTGGATCGACATTGAACGAGGGTCGAACGCTGGCCAAGAATGTAATAGGAAGGAGATTTGTTCTGCATCTGTGAGTGATTCTAATTGACTCGAAATATAAGATGAGTTTGCGTTCTATGTATAAGAAATTTCTGATCGAGACCCAGACTGACTTTTTGCTGTACGGAGGGCCACTTGACAGAGACTACTGTCCCTAGGGAAGAAGCGGACTAATAGCACCCAATCCGGTGCTCATCGGGTACATTTAACACTTCTAAGTCAGTAGTTCCTCTCTAAATGCTATCGAGCATCGAGCGAACAAAAGTAAACTCCTCTTGGCGAGTTCCTAGCCGGTACAAATTTCGATGTGCTGCTTGTACAACACTGTACTCATCTGTTGCTGTTGTGGACCCTGTTACCCCTAACACCAAACAACTGCGTGTTCTACTTTGTTTAACTAAAAATTTCACGTACTCCCCGCCATCTAGTACCGGCTTATGCACGTCATCGTAGTGGATAGGGTGGTGCCACTCGATGTGATGCAGAAAGACCCTCGGTCTTCTTGTTGAGGCATCCGGATATCACCATCGTGAATGGGAATGGCTATTATTGTGATCTCACATGCATGACACCATATGTAACGCAGATTCACGAAGCTAACTGTGGCTTCGGCAGTATTTTACCTGATTTGGGCTTTCACTCGTCCGCTCAGGTCGCTCGTGTGAATTAGCTTAGCATGGATATCCTGTTCCCCTTTACCAGTGGACTACCGCGTCACCGATGATCACGCTAGTACACTGTGCTTTAGAGATCGCCTATCAACTGCCGGGACTAATCATGTTGATGTAGAAGTCGGGAATGCAAATTAGGAAAGTGCGACATTTTGTGACGCGGATAACTACCCCCACCACTACTCCACAACTAACGTTTTATTCTGAAGCTTTAGGCCTGTTTTCCTTGAGTAGGTATTGCGTACCATCTTGATCGTCAATTCTGTCTCCTGCAGAGTATCTCATACTGATATATCAGGTCCCCAAGGATCCTAACGAACCACGCCAACCCCTATTAAAGCTCAGCCACAAAACCTCACTGCAAAGCCACAGTTTGAAGATAGCCATGCAGTATAGCCCTTTGGAATGCCGGCTACTATTTCAATGCTCTCGAATTCGAGGCCTTCAGAGTGATACGCATTGTTTTCGGGCGGGCAACACTCAGTTTTATCTAATAAGCGTCTGCTTTCTTATCTCTGATAATTCCATTGTTCCATTACTCCATTGCTGATCTTGTGCGGAATGTGCCCCTATCTGATTCCACTTAGTTACACATCCCTTCCGTTTCAGGCAAATGGTCCAACCTTTTGAACACACGCCAACTTTGGATAGAACAGAAGCCCGGACTAGAATTCCGCCCTCCGCAGTTGACACTGATCAATCTACTTCGGTCTCATTTAGCTCGCCGTTCATGATTATCGGTTTTATTTTCCCCAGCTGTTTCTCCTTCTCTTACTTTGTGTACTTTCTAGTTGTTCACCATGTGCTCTGTTACAGCTTCTACTATACGCAATCGGTGCTTACTTCTACCTAATTGTAGGTTGTTGCTTTGTCCTGTTTCTTGTTATTTTTGCACCAGTAATCCTTCCCTAGCTACGATCTATCTTTCAAGCACTTCAAGTTGATTCGGCATGGTTTTTTTAAATGTGTAGTCCTTTTTATGAAGTTGTTGAATCTAAAAGGCAAATACGCATTCAAACACCATTGTTTCCCTTTCTTTTCAACTCATTGGAAGCGTGATTGTTAGCTTCACTAAAGCTGGTTGCTTTTAGAACGACAAGAAAGGTGGAGCTTACCACAAGTCCAGTGCACGCACACACACACAATGGAACCGCGACGAATCTCGACGTTTGTGCTGTGGATACCGTTCCTCCGTGGTCCAATATGCTGACGTTCAAGTGTCCTCAGAGCCTCTCATACCACGCTGATCAGTGATTTTTTTTGTTGGGACTAGACCTTTGTATTCGATAGCTTAGTTTTTAGCGTTTATAACCAATCGAGCTAGGGTTGCTCAATTCTGAAGCTCATAACGAAACCACTGACGACCTTCATTGATATCACATCGATTCCACATAACTAACTAGGTCACCAAGCAATGCCTGAGCATCCTACTCGAACTACTTGTACTTTGAAATATTCCGACCAGTGGCTATAAGTCGTTAGAGCTTAAATTTGACATATTCCTCCTTGGTTATTAAACTAGATTGGTGATCCCCTCCCATCGAAATCTGACTATGAAGGAAAACCTTTGTGTCGGCTGGATTGGCACAAGTAACGAGCGCTGATTTTTTTCGTCTCTTTTTGCCTAGATGGCTTCTAACCATCGCATCGCAAACCTTTCAAGACGATACATTCACTTGATCATTTACTTGAGCCTGTCACATTACTTCAGGTTACACGCATATTATTCCTACTTTTCAAACTCTGCACATGATCAGCCTTAATCATACCTCAACAGATCTGCGACAACCACTTTTAGATTAAGTTGCTTCCAAGTTCATAATTGGGCTTCAGGTAAAGCGTCCACCTCCGTCTGCAAGTTGTTTTGATCCAGCGGCTACTATTGCAGTTCGCTCAAATCCACAAAATGCATTTAACTCAGCTTCCGAACGGAACACAGTTTGGGGTCCAATCAATAGCGCCAACCCTAACATAGCAGAGGACACATGACCTCCGAACGAGATTTGTTCTGATGACAAATCCAGACCTCATCGATAGAACACGTGTTTATCCATAGGTCCACTAACGTTCTTAAGAGCTTGACTAATCACGGTCCTGGTCTGAAGCGGAAACAGATGCACGCATACCGATTTAGAATACAACTAACGACTAATGATAAATTCACATTTTTGTTGGTCGCAATGTAATTTTCAGGAAGATTGGCATTTTTTCTAACAACCCTCCTCGGTGTCAGTGTTTGCGTTAATTGCCAGAATTAGAATGGCTATCTCAAACTAGGGATCTCGAAGATACATCTTTGCGGAAACTCCATCGCTGCTGTTCGGTTCTCCTATCTGCCTCACCCCTTTTACTCTTTTCTAGCGGTATGCCCAAATCGTTTTCCATGTCATGGATCCCTCTCATACCGTGAACTGCTATTCTGTCAGGCCGTTCAGCGCGCATTCTTCACGTTTTCTGAGCACTTTTCTCATTGACGTCTGATGCGTATCCGTGACATTGGTACGCCGTCATACTAGCGTCGTGTACTGATCTACTTCATGGAACTCGGACATGGTTGGTCAAGTATATTTTATTCTTGTAAAAGCCAGATTCGTGAAGAAAAAGTGGTGTTTCGTCGAGGTCGGAGCTGCATCAATCACATATCAGTTTACCTCTATTACTTGGAACCCCACCACTTATATTAGCGACCGACAGTCGTCGTGTTCACCAGCTAAGGAAAAATGTGCCCGAGGAATATGTACATAATAACCCAGCGCTTTATGTGCGTAGCTGCAGCGGAGTGACGGCTTATGGCAACCTACCGTCACGCTTCTATATCTCTAGCGAGTTAAGAAACAGATGCACACTGTCACGTTTACTCTTCAACTTCGCTACTAAAAAACATCGCCGCTGTGAATGGGTAGAGGTTTCGGCTACTATTCCAGTGGTCGCAGGTTCGAGGCCTGCTATCTCCAATTGATGAAATAATAAGATCAAAACACCCAATTTCCATCTGCTTCGGCTACGGTCCAGCTGTTCGCAGTCACCAAGCATCACTTCAATGCGAATCGCGGTCCACATTAAGATTGCGTGTCCCAATCCAAGCACACAACATGTCCAAAATTGACCCTTCAATTAGTCACTCACCGCTGTGAGCAGCGTTGCCTGCCGCGACATGGTTGCGAAATAGGTAAACTTTTCATCTACTATTCCAATGATCCCCAGTTCGACGCCTGCTCTTCCCACCTGATGAGATGAAAAGACATTGAAATGCGTCGTGGTTGTGCAGTGTTTCCCGGTTGTTAACCCCGACTTTGAATCTGCTTCGACTACGGTCGAAGTGCTTGCAGTGAACAAACTTAACTTCAATCTGAATCGCGGTCCATATTAAGATTGCGTGGCGCAACTCAATCACACAACGTGTAGTCCTAAATTGACCCTCCAAGTAGACATTCACCGTTGTGACAAACGTAGACTGCCCTGACTCCGTAGACAAGTGGATCGTATTATTTGCTACTTTCTACTTTACTTTTTCTAATGGCAGTGGCTTCAAAGTCTGCCATCTCCATCTGATGAGAATTAAAGTCTTTGAAACGCGTCGTTGTTGTGCAGTGTTCTCGTGCGGTTAACACCCAGATTACATCTGCTTCAGCTACGGTCCAAGTGCTCGCGGTGACCAAGCTTCACTTCAATCTGAATCGCGGTCCACATTAACATTGGGCGTCGCAACCCAATCATACAACGTGTAGTCCAAAATTAAACCTCCGGTTAGTCATTCGTCGTTGTGCCGTGTTGCCTGCCTTGAACTGGTAGGCAAATGGAGCGTGTTGTCGGCTACTATTCCAGTGGTCGCGGGATCGATGCCTGCTATCTCTGCAGGATGGAAAGACATTGAAACGTGTCCTGGTTGTGCAGTGTTTTCCGGCGGGTAACACCCAGATTACATCTTCAGATACAGTCCCAGTGCTCGCGGTGACCAAGCTTCACTTCAATATGAATTGCGGTCCACATTGAGATAACGTGTCGCAATTCAATCACACAACGTGTATTCCAAAATTGGCTCTGCAATAATCATTCACCGTTGTAGCAATCCTTGCCCGCTGCGACCCGGTTGCCTTAATGCATCGTGGCCTCGGCTGCTATTCCTATAGTTGTAGGTTCGGAGCCTACTGTCTCCACCTGATGAGGTGAAAAGACATCAGAATGCGTCGTGATTGTACAGTGTTTGCGGACGGGTAACAGTTTTGCATCCGCTGCGGCTGCGGTCCCAGTACTCGCAGTGACCAAGCTTCACTTCAATGTGAATCGAAGTCCACATTGAGATTGCGAGTCGCAATCCAATCAGACTACGTGTAGTTCACAGGCGACCTTCCTATTAGTCATTCACTGTTCGGACAAGCGTTGCCCGCGACGACCTGTTAGCGGAAGTCGTGTAGGTCTTGGCTACTTTTTCAATGGTCGTGGCATCTTATCCTGCTATTTTCGCACGATGAGATGAAAACACATCGAAACGCATCGTGGTTGTGCAGTGTTTTTGGGTGTGTAACACGCGGTTTGCGTTTTCTTCTTCACCTTTCCCAGTACTTGAGGTGACAAAGATTTATCTCAATGTGAGTCGCGGTCCACATTGAGCTTGCGTGTCGCAATCCAATCATACTACTTGTAGTCCAAAATTGACCCTGCAATCGGTCATTCACCGTTATTACATGTGTTGCCGGCCGCGACCCGAAACTTAGCGAATTCGGCTTCCATTTCATTGGTAGCAGCTTCAATGCCCGCTCTTTCCACCTGATTTGATAAATATGCATATGGTATTTTCCTCGGCGATGGGCGGCGTATCCCAACTGTGTATTCCGATCAATGTGTGCAGCGGGATCGCACCAAATCATCAATTGTTTTCCTTTTATACAATTTATCCAGAACGGTTATTGTAGTAATTGACAGGGTTAAGGTATTAAGGTAATTAACAAACCACGAACAAAAACAATGCAGATTTGAACATATGTTTAGGCAAAGTAATACGGCCACTCGTGGAACTGTCCCCAAGGGTCCTGCTTCCATGCCGGGTATTCCTCGACCTGGGAAACCGGGAAGCTCAATGCCCATACAACACATGGAGCTTTGCTTTCATTCCTCTGACTCACTCTCTTCTTGCTTTTTGGTATTGTTACTCATGTGTTGTAGCACTGCCAAATGTTTATTGGGCAAGTGTCCGCGTACCGGTGTGACAAAGTGGCATATTAGCCATCATCTGTTTAGCATAGGTTGTGTTCTCTTTAGAGCTGCTTATATACATGTATTATGAGCGATGAGACCTCAGCCCGGTCCGCCATGCGTATCAATTATGGCACATCTTTTGTACGCCAGGCAGTTGGTGACAATGTGCCTTGCATAAGTAAAGTCTTTTATAATCTGGAACCTATAATCCATCATCTCGGGAGATCAGTGCAGTCGTGGCCAACCATGAAATAAGGAAGAATGTAAAAGAATCAAAATTGTGTAATAGAGGTATTATATCGTTAATGCCAAAAATATGCGGGTAGATTTTACATCAGCGTAAAAATTGATCGAGCCGATCATACGATGGAATTGTGCGGCGTGACACCCGGAGACAGATAACTGTACTAGTTGTCCATAGGCAAAAAGTCAAGTAGGGAATCCGTTATTGCCACTACTGAATTCCATTATATGTTTCTGGACTGTTAACTCCCTAAAAAAGGGAAAATAGTTAACATTACAGAACAAATGTAGCGAAGGGAATCGCAGGACAAATCTTACGAATTAGCCAGTTTGAGGGGAGGAATACGAAGGTAGTTCCTGGTCCCATGCAAGTAAATAATTTTCGGTCTTGAATCAAAAGAGAGTTGGCATGAATTAAGTTTGAAGGGAATAAACCGCATAGGAGGTTGCAATAAAGAATAGCACGACAAGCGGTTGTAACAGCTCATCCTAGATGATCATGTTTACTCTGGTGCATTTGTTAGGTGCTTCCAGTCGACGTTCTCCACTATCCTACATGATCCGGCTCATCTTCATACAGCTTTACATC